ATGAGGGTAACCCTTCCACTCTTCAGGCACAGAAGGGTCTCGTATTACATCCACATCTCGCAACTGCCACCAGAAAGAATTTTACTGCAGCTAATTGTAAAAACTACAAGACAATCATTTCAGCGCTGAAGCCTGATTGAACGAGTCACACTCGGGAAAATAAACGGAGCACACTAATTAAAGGTCATTAAAAGTGTGCTCAAGGATTTTAGTAAGGGCAGATGTCATTTAATTTGACACAAATTAAAATAAGGCTGTGAGGAATGAATGTGTATGGTCCTAGTCTAATTTCAAGTCCCCATGTGGTGAAAATCAAGCTTTTAATGTTTTATATGTTTTTAATATGCTTTACGTCAAACTATGTGCAAATTCACAAGTCAACACTGTTGCAAAGTAATTTCTCCTAAAACTGCTGTGAAAAAAGACGGTTTGAAATAGCTGGTGATTCTGACGTCACAAACTACCTTGTAACCAATCACGTCACGAGGTGGGCGGGGTTTAGCATATCATTAACTGCTGCAAAGCAGGGCAGTCTCAAGAGAAGCTATGTTATCCTGGTATATTTTTCTGTTGATATGAAAAATCAGGTATATTTAGCAATAGCGGGTGAATTATGTATATGTTATGATTTGCCTTTTGTCCACTGACGTTCTGAGTTGTTCAGTGTTTAAGGATGCTGATTTTTAGAAGGCAGCTGTCTGACTCTGAGATACGAACTTGAACATGGTTTGTGTAACATTAGCAACACATTATTAGCTGTTTGCAGAGGTGGGTAGAGTATCCAAAAACTGTACTCAAGTAAAAGTACAAGTACTTATAGAAATATTTACTCAAAGTAAAAGTAAAAGTAATAATCTTAAAAGTTACTTGAGTAAGAGTAAAAAAGTATCCAATGAAAAAACTACTCAAGTAGTTAGTTACTAGTTACTTTGGATCACATAGGCCTATATATATATATATATATATATATATATATATATATATATATATATATAACATGACATTATTTAGATATTTTTTTATTTTAATGACTAAAATTATCATAATTAGATAAGCTATCTTTGCAACAAAAACAAGAAGAGACAAACATTATTTCTGTATATCTGTATATTATATCTATAGCCCGAAAACCATTGCCTGTCCTTTGGTTTGTATAATAGTATAATAACTTATACAACTACATTTGGATTATTAGACAATGTCGGAATAAAGTGACTCTATGGAGTTTTGCATTCATGTAAAGGGGTGGGAACCATTGACACAGAAAGTGTTAAAACTCTGCACATGTGCCCGCAGTCATGTCATGCCAAACACAACCAACGATCAAATGCACGGATCTTCTTCTGTCTGTTCTCCAAAATGTATTTAAATGTAGGCTATATTTGTGAAAGCATCTTTAAACTGGTTAACTGTGTCTAATAAGGCAGGCAAAGGCATTCGTTTTCAAGTCGAGTTCGCACGCCACTGCGCAATACACACATTGTGTGTGTACACACATTCATAAACTGGATGATGGCTTATTTTATGTATAAATTAATGTATATGTCCAAAAAAAGGGTAATGTCATACTTTGTAGTAGTGCTATATGGCGTAATAATCTGTTTGGTTGTAAAATGTATTACCTGAATGAAATGAAATCGAATGTATCGTCGTGTGGAATAATTCATTCACAGACAGCTTACGAAGTAACATACGAAGATGTTCAACTAATAAAGATCTTCATCGCTGGCAAAAAATATGATGCATTTGCAGATTTACTTTCTAGACTGTACTGTAGACTGTGGACCGCCACTTCATACAACGCTCTTGATGTAATCTTGATGTTGATGTAATCTTCCTGTTACGACTCCGATCTGATTCAGTGCGTGCAGGAAACTGAACAGATCATTCAAACTGATTCGCGAACCGATTTAGACAGATCTGCCCAACTTGTTTGATGAAGTCTTTGAACAGAATCGACTCAAAAGAGTGATTCATTTGTGAATTGAGCATCGCTCATGCCCAGAAAAAAAGAGAGAGCGCGCGCTTGGAATAAACTACGCTTTTAACAACATATTGCATTAAAATAAAGTAACGAGAGGAACGTCGCCCAACGTAACGAAGTAAAAGTACCGTTTTTTCATTAGAAATGTACTCGAGTTAAAGTAAAAGTACCCACAATTAAATCTACTCTTAAAAGTACAAATTTTCCCAAAAAATACTCAAGTAAATGTAACGAAGTAAATGTACTTCGTTACTACCCACCTCTGGCTGTTTGATAACGTAGTCAAGAAAAAGACTAATCATCTCGTAGGGATGCACGATATAGGATTTTGGCCGATATTCGATATGCCGATATTTTCAAACTAATTTTGCCCGATGCCGATACCGATACCGATATATTTGTATTTTTTTTAAGTGTAAAAAAAAGCTTATTAAAGCTTCTATTAATGTTCTCAGTCAAGAGCAGTGAGTGATTTCCTCTGTGTTTTGTTGTTTTATTAACATTAACGGGATAGTTCTCCCAAACATTTAAATTGTCATCATTTACTCTCTCAAGTTTCTTTCTTCTGTAGAAATTATAAAAGTTATTTGGAAGAATGTGGCTAACCAAACAGTTGCTGTACTCCAGTGACTTCCATAGTATATTTAAGCACAAGAAAGAAATGAATCCAGGTTTGAAACAGCATTAGATAGACAGAATTTTTATTTCTGGGTGCAGTATCTCTTTAAAGACAAGCGGCAGAATATTATTACTGTCTCTTTAAGAACTGCACGCGAGTAACGCGACGCGTCTAATATACACGCATTTGACAAGCAGATTTTCTCTGTTTGCTTTCACTTTAGACATAACCAACTTTGTTTATGTAAACCTTGTGTGTATTTGACAGTATCAGCGCAATAAGACTCGAAAGATTAGTCCAGTATGCAGGCGCTGTGACAGGCTTTTAGTTCCTGTGAGCGTCGCGTGTACGCGCTCAGAAAAGCGGATGTTAGAACAGCGCATCAGCACGTGAATGACATGTTTACCTAGCAAGACTTTGACGCACATGCAAACAATGAACTTTTGTGAATTGCGGTGTCCCGTGAGTGTAACTCTACCTCTGCGTTTACATGTGATGTGATGTGATGTGAATGTACGTCGCGTTGTACAGTATGTTGAGATGAAGGCGCCAGAATTGAACTGATAGAATGCACGATACTATGATTTTTCTTCAAAAGCAGATAGTGGAGACATTTTAATCGTCCACGATCAAAAACCGTGAGACGCACGGCACACCCCTAGTTGGAAGTTTAAGTTGCTGGCGCTCATGCTTTGTTCACGGTCGTCACGTGCGCATAGGAAACACGCCACCCTATCGGCAAGACTCATCGGCAGAAATATTCATATCGGCCGATGCCGATGATGGTCATTTTAAGCTTTTATCGGCCGATACCGATGTTGTCCCGATATCATCGTGCATCCCTATCATCTCGCAATTCTGACTTTTTTCTCAGAATTACATGATATTACATGAAGAAGGACTACACGCCTGCACACATTCAAATGCGCATACCTATGGACTGAACACGTGATGCACATGTGTGCACGCCGTCTGCGTTTTCGTGGGTTTGCGTTTTGAGGTTTACGCGGAGATAACGGATAATCGTTTGCACCTTCGAACCTATTTCAGGGAGTGTGTTCTCGAGACACCAGGCACTGTTGTTGTGAGGATGGGCGGCCGGAGCGCGTTGAGTGTTTTCTGTTAGAGCGGTGTCGTGTTAGCAGCCCCTGAGTTAATAACTAATGATCTTCGCAACGGAAGTGAATCAATCAAAACTAACTTTAGCTGGACAATAACTAATTTATCCTAATGCTGTTGTAAAGCCTAAACAATCTTTTACGGTCATTTCTATTTTAACTGTAAAGCTGCTTTGAAACAATCCATACTGTTAAAAGCGCTTTATAAATAAATGTGAAGGGATATAAACTCGCAATTGAGAGTTATAAAGATAAAGTCATAATGTTATAAAGGAAAAAAGGTCAGACATTAAAGTTATTTTGTCCAATGTAATATTTTCAACGTTCCATATACTGTATATGCTTAGTAATCCACATCAAGTCACACAACAGTGCAATCTACCGTCTACCCCTAAAGAATGATCATAGTAACCATATAGTTACAAGCTGTAGTTACTGTTATTATTATTAAACTATAATAAAATAATGTGATTTCCTTTAAACAACATAAGTTTTCAGGAATATTTGTGTCCCTTTCATTTATTATTTTGATAATATTAATGGAAAATACCATGTTTTATTGTAGTAACAGTTAAAGTAACACTTTTAAGGTAAGTATGTTTATAGTAAAGAAATCATTATAGTAGGCATGAGTTTACACATCACCGGATTATAATGGGATTAAAGCCTGAAACGATGAATGCCACATCTAGAATGGCACAAAATATAGTTACTGTGTTAGGCTGAATAAAAAAAGAAATAAACATGTTAACTATATATGGACACACTACAGTTAGTTAACAGCAAAAATGTGGTAACTCCGTATTAACTATTGTCATCAAAGAGAGATTAAAACGTTTCTGAAAGCTTATTATCGTGTTTATTGGAGATCCCGTATTTATTTGTTTAGATTTTGCAGTAGTCACAAGAACTGCAGCAACTTCGGTAATTTGCCGGAAACTACGGTTACTATGGTAATTTTTACAAGCGCTAATACAAACCCCTCCCAACCAGGAAGTGAAATCCAGCACTATCATCGAGTCCAAGCGGGAAAAAAGTCAAAAGATCAACAGTGCAGATGTAAATGCAGATGCAGTCCAGATTGTGCTTCTGAGAAGACTAAAAACGCACAATGACGCGATGTTTATAAGCTTCAGTTCGGTTTGTTAAGAGCAACATTTGCAATGCTCTCTACATAAAGGCTTCCACCACCGGGATAGAAGAGGGCAACTTAAACGATAACTTTGTTATTTTGACACCTTACCTCGACAATAACGCTTCCGTACAGCATATATGTTTATATATATTTATAAACATGTATTTATCGGTATATTTTGAGTACGCTCCGGATTGCAAACTAGATGCGCGAGATGAAGAATGCTTCTCCAGACACGTTGAGTAAACGTGTAAAATACCGGAAGTTTCAAATAATTAACACTAACTTCAAAACCTCAGAAGACGCGTCTGAATGTCGTCGGACAGGTGGACATGGACCCTGACAGGAGCGACAGCGGTGTGTGTTTTATCGGTGTATGTGGCCTCGGCGCCGCGCGCTGTGCCCGGTGGAGACTCAGGTAGGACTGCAGTCAGTCACATGAGTTTGTGTTTATGTCACATGCAGCCTATCACAGAACAGCATATTGTAATATCACATAGTATGACGCTTTTTGAAGTGTGAATCGCATGAGACCTATTGAGATTATTGTTAATCTCTCAGAACCCTGTCTCAATCCATCGCCTACAGTGGAACCCAAAGATTATTTGGACACTCAAGTCTTATACAGTATGTATGACACATTATCACATTAAATCCTCAATGGACCCAGGAAAACATGTTTGTCCTCTTTAATGGACTATATTTTAGTGAATTTCTCTGACACCATACATGTCACAGTCTGGATGTCCCGTAAAGAGCACATTCAGGGCTTTTCAGAGGTAGGCTACCAAATGTTTGGAGGTTTCAACTTGACAACAACAACAACTCCTTGGTCTTTAAAAATGCCTGACATTAATTTAGTGATCGAATTTAGCACTCTTATAGAAATATGATAATATTCTGTAGTTTTCTTTTAAATCTGACTCATTTTCAAATATTCGTGAATGTTATGTGGTTTCTAATCAAAATATGACTTTCTGTTACAAAACAGTGCATTGATTTCATACATGTCCTCTGAAGAGATAGGACATAAAGCATGTTTATCAGGCATTTTGGGAGACACAACAAGAGAAATGATATATTCCTATGAAATATTAGATATTATTATGAAAATGTTGCCAATTATTACTCTCATTATTACACTTCTGTTTTCAGTACATGTTGCCCCAAGAACACATTAATGTGCAAACCAGATACAGTGTATAGATGCATTGTTTTGAATGGGACTACCCATTTATGGCAATTTTACCCATATTTCATAAAGCAAAATGGTATCATTCATTACGTTATATCTTTCATAGCTTAGTTGAGAATCATCTTTATACTGCAGCGTTTGTTATTTTTGTTAGGTTTTAATAGACCAAAAAATATTTAAAAAGTATTGGACACTTTCTGGTTGCGAATGCGATCATTGAAAATGGCTCAGAAAAGTTGTTTTTGAGATTGCGTTTACAGATGCCACTTTTGTTTTAGCCTATTATATTTTGCCATTATTCACTGCAGACATTATCATCTGTGTGAACAAATGGGAAGGTTATTTACTGCTGGGTCAGACTAGATGAGTGTGTCTGCGTCCCTCTCAAAGCTGTCAAGAGAACAGAAATACTAATCCCTCTGGACTGACGTCAGACCATTAATCACAAGATAGAGAGAGAGAAATACTGTACATGATGATATTAACGCACGGCAGAATTGGTGAAAAAATGTGAAAAAATTATTAGGATGTAATCAAGATTAACAGGTATAAGGAAAATAATTTACAAGTTTTTAATTGATAGTTTGACCACATGACATTAGTCATTCGATTTTTTTTTTTTAAATGTATAAAACATTTTCAAAACCATATAAAGCCAGCTAGAATACAAGGTTCATTTGTAAGAACCTGGCATGTGTTTTAAACTAGATTTCTTTATTGTGTTTTATTTATACACTCTTTTTTTTGTCATTGACCCATGAATGCAGTCTTGCACAATGCTTTTTAAAAAGTTGTCCTATAGACAGCCAGATTCACTAATTGGATACAAAAATAAATGTTTTTCTTCCGGGGGGGGGGAAAGCAAACAACAAGCTGCTGTTCTGTGAGCTTTACAGCATGTGCACGGGCAGGGTGGCTTTTGGAGGCTTTTGGGGGGGGGGGGGGGGGGGGGGGGGGGGGGGGGGGGGGGGTTGCAAGAAGCTGTTTGGGGCTTACGGAGAGAGAAAAAACAGCCAACCCCTTAAGCGTGGCGTTTAGGGACATTGCAGGATGCTGGTGTGATAGCGCCAGCTGAATGCTCGGCAGAAATTCTCCAGGTCTCCGTCTCGCAGTCCTAATCCCTTTAGGTGTGCTGCGCCCCGGAGAGGCTGAGCGGGCGCCCCGCGGGACCGCTGTTGTCTAGGAATGCGAGTGTGGAAATGATGGGGATTATGGGGGGAAAAAGGCTGCTGTGGGTGCCTATCACAGAGACACTTCGCTCCTTCCGCCGCTGTCCTGCGCTCAACTGCATCTGTACCCCTTTCTCTGTTTAGCCCTCCCTCCATGGGACTGGGCTCTCTTTTGGGGTCTAGACACAGCACTGCACTGCCATGAATGAAATTGTGATGCATAACATGAGAAATTTTGATTACAGGGAGATCCACATGCTTTGAAATGCGGTAGACCTGGCCTCACCGCGCGTGTATTTATTTCTATTCTAAATGAGACTGTGAAAGCAGAGGAAATTCAGCCGCTGAAGTGTGAGGGGTCTGCACCTACAGATAGAGGACTTCCAACATGACAACGAAAACAGACGACCGCTAGTGATACGCAGGAAGTGCCAGCTAACAATTTCAAAATTTTGTGATGCACTGAACATTTCATATTGCATCAGAGAGCACAGATTATAGGATTTTACAGTGTTTAGACAAGTATTGCGTCAGGCAGCATTGCTTAGATTTATACAACAGGGCTAAAACATTTGGGATTAGTAGGCGAAAGGACTTTTTGTCCATTAATCTCTGAACTCTGAAAAAACAGTTTTTTGGGGGTTTGTAGATTTCCAGATTTTGGTTGTCAAGTTTTGAAATTGCTACCCATTCCACACCTAAACCTCTCTGTATCGATACTGTAATGAGCAGGGTTTCCACAGCCATGGAAAACCTGTGAACATCTAGGCCTATGAATTTTAAAATGTTCATTTCTAAGCATGGAAAAGGAATGGAATTGAATGAAATTTGAAGTCATGGATACACAGACAGTACTTACAGCGTCTGTAAGAAGTCGCTTATGCTCACCAAGACTGCGTTTATTTTCAATCTTTGAAAAGAACAGCATTCATTAGAAATAGAAATGTCTTTATTGTCACTTTTGATCAATTTAATGCACCCTTGTTGAAGAAAAGCATTCATTTCTTTAAAAAAAACCCAATTGGTGGGTCGTAAACCATTTAATTTAATTTAATTTAATTTAATTTATTTATAAAGCACAAATAAACACAACAGAAGTTGACCACTGTGCTGTACAAATGAAACCTGTGCTTTTTCCTAAACTAGAGTTCAATGGCCAGTTAGTCTGTCTGTTAAAGGGGTCATGACATGGATTTTTAAAAATCATTTTAATGTGTTCCTTTAAGTTCACTATCACTAATAATGTTGATAGTTTTTTGCCCCCCCCCCCCAAAAAATAAAAAAATATATGTGTGTGTGTGTGTAAAAAACATTTTTTTCAACCCTTGTTCTGGAACAGGTGTGAGCCTCTGTCTGAAATGATCAGTTTTTAAGGGTGATGATCTCCTTTAAAGTGATCTCCTTTAAAGTAAACGGCCGCTGTTATGATTGGCTAACGTCATCGCATATGAAACCTTATCAACAACACCCACTCGCTATTGCACGCGATTAAGTGTTCTGAAAACATTATATAAAACCGTAATTTGCAGACAAAGCATTATGAAATATACGGTTTACGATGTAGCCGCTCTCAGGTCTAAAACCGCTGACTGCTTCATCTGTCAAGAAAGGTCTCTCTGTAAACTTTCTATCACACTGTGCTTCGTTTGCAAAACAATCTGCAGTCAAATTCTCAGAGCAAACATCCTTTGACGCAATCCATGACGGCATTGAAAATAAACCATCCACTTGTTCCTGACACTGGGATCCTTAATGGGTTCTAGTGATGGGTCGATCATGAACGATTCATTCATTTTGAAAGAGTCTGTAATATGACTAAGGAATAACCAAGGGGGTAATCCATCGACCGGAAGTTGAAGCCGGCCGGGTGCCGCCATGTTGTAGCAGAACTTCACTTGCGTTAGCATTTCCATTGACTCCCATTCATTTTGGCGTCACTTTGACAGCGAATAACTTTACATCTGAGAAACAGATTTAGTAAAAATAGGCTAACGATTGCGTCATAACCACTCGACTCTCTGTCGCGCTGTACAGAAATTACCGTACAGACAGGAGGAGAAGCTCGCAGGCAATCGGCGGGACGTTCCGTCAAGGGAGAAGCCCATAGATAATGAGTCCATAAAAGCAACGCAATACTTACTCCTGCTCACTCACGCCAAAGAACTCTTTGCTCAAGTTCCCCGTCTCTGCAAGATTAACGTTGGCAATTTTCACGCACAGCTACTAGAAGAGTAACGTCTGTCAGACAGGTTGCTCACGTCATCAAGCTTAGTTTGAGTCGGTTTGAGTCTGCGCGTCAGGAATGGAAGTGCTCAAAAATCGCTAAAAATGGGCTCAACTGTCTCAACTGAGTTCCAATGAGATGGCTCTGTCCACTTCTTATACTGTCTATGGGAATAACGAGTTGTCTCAGAGAGTGATTTGTTCATTTTGTGTTGACCGTGCATGCGCAACATCCCATAGGTTCTGTACAGGAAACAGGAATGATTAGTTCACCTCCCAAGTCTTCGGGTCCGAGTCGTTCGTTCTTTTGTCACGTGACTTGACATCCGTATTGGATACTGAAATTGGTTAATAATTCCCAATCTTTCCTACAAACAAGCGTGTTGTTAGTTGTCTTACAGTAAAGTGATGCAGTTCTGGCCTCAAATTTCTTACAATGTATTAATTCCCCTAACTTTTCGATTTTCCTTTCCATAATTCATGATGAACGAACGACTCAGACCCAAAGACTCGGAAGGTGAACTAATAATTTCTGCACAGACTACATAGCTTCAGCCTATGGGGCTGTGACATTTCAGTTATATTCTGCTGAAATTCTGCTGAGATTTGTTCATTTTGCTGAATGAGACTCAAAGATCCGAGTCAGTAAAATGATCCGAACTTTCCATCACTAACTATTTGCTTTTGAGGTGCAATGACACCTTGTTTGTTGATGTCTTGCTCTAGAGGCAGGCATCTGAAAATGTATTTGCTGTGTGACGTCACAAATCCCACAATATCGAAACGAGCCGTTTTTGGAGCTTGATTAAATAAATGCTTTGTTTATAATGAGGTGGACATTTTAAGCTTTGAAACTTGCTGGATGTTTTAATGGTACAAAGACCTCTTATATGTCAAAAGATGTCATGGCCCCTTTAAGGGTCTTAACAGAGACATTTGTATTCTAATAAATATAATCTGTAAAATCTATTAATTCAGGTGACATACATCCAGAAATACGCTGAACAATCTGTCTGGTAATCATGAATCATGAAAGGTCCTGGAAACTGATTGGTCAGAAAGTGTGGGAACCCTGAATGAGTCATAGGTTTTTAATATGTTGATGGTTTACAGGACTAGATATGTGTGAATAATGGTTGTGAGCTCTTAAAAAGACCAGTCACTCGTGAGCTTTTTGTATGCGTGTGGCTCTGCGCAGAGGGACTCGCAGGCGTTTACGTCCATGTATGCCATACAGCGACGGATGGGGCTCTGCACATGCATCTCGAGTCACAGAATATGGGAAGAGTGAATAGATTTGCCTGTGTATGTGTGCGTCTGTCTGCTCGGGGATCAGGGGAGCCGTGTGCGATGGAAGAGAATGAGCGTGTCGCTTAGGAAATGTCACACTGGGAAGATTTTGCAGGTTTTGATCCGGGCAAATTAATGCAAAACCCAGTGCAAGTATTTGATTTGGGAAAACTTTCAGGAGCGGACTTGTCTCTTAATAATAATTATTGGGTTTACATTAATTTCCCTCTCTGTTTTTCTACCACAGGAGAGCTGATCACTGCTGCTTGTGAACTGGGGGTAAGCATTAGCTGCATTGTTTAATCAATCCACTCATTAACTCTTATACGCATTAAGGAAGTTTAATTAAGTATGGGGGGAGAAGAAAGATGATTAATTTACTTTTCAGGCCACAGGTTTTTTATCCTCTCTTCTTTTCTATGCACTTCTTTTTTTGACTAAGTTAGGACTAGAGAATGCTATAATTTGCAACCCTGTTCTTCAAATCCAATTAGACTGAATGGTTAGGCGATGGCTTTTGTAAGCTTCGCCTTATGTACGGTATAAGGCTTATTATACTCAACCCCTCTCCTTTTTGTGCATGCGTGTGTGCGTGTGTGTAAGCCGCAAAGAATGAACTAAATCGGGTTAACAGTTATAATAAGTTTTATTATTTAATAAAGTTTATTACGCCGCCGCGATCCTTTTAGGGAGTCTGTGGCGGTGTCACTATGCCAGTAATCCCTCCCTCTGTCCGTGTGGCCTGCCTGTCTGCGGCTCTCCCCAGGGTCGGAGGGCTCTCTCCGGGCCACAGGCCGCCGGCCCTCCCTTCCTGCTCCCTGGAGCCGTGGATCTTTTCTCCTTTAAACTCCTCATATAGCAGGACTGCCCCCTACCGTGCATTTCGCCTTTTTTTCCCACCATGCCACCCGCGCTTCCAGACCTGGCGGCGGCTCTGCGTTGCTTTCCACGCCGTCGGCCTCGCGTGGCACCAGTGCAGGCATTTCTGCCACACACCTCACACGTCACTTGCGCAGTCACGCACACCTTGCTGGCACTTCCAAGCGTGCCCTTCGCGCCCCTGCCATCTGTTTGCCATACTGTCTCTCTCTTTCTTTTGTCCTGTCTTTGTGCCCCCTTCCAAGCCTCTCTGTTCTTCTCTGCCTTGACCTCTCTTTCTTGTCTTCAAGCTCTCCGTTCTTTCCTGATATTGAATTAGCATCTTTACTTTATATTCAGACATTTGGCATTGTTGGGGAAGCTACTTTACAATCGATTCTACTCATAATTTAAAGTCACTCAACTAAAGTCAGACTACCCTGTTGACAAGCTAAGTAACTAACAATATTATATTATTCTTTTTTTTTACCGGTTCAGTTCAATTAATTGTACAAATGAATCAATTCACAAAAATGTATTTGATTACCCCATGCTTAATATGAGAGAGTAGGGCATACCTGTCAACACTCCCGTTTTTCCCGGGTTTCTCCCGTTTTTTAGCCCTATCTCCCGGACCCCTCCCGGTTTGTTATTTCTCCCGGGAAACTCCCGTAATTTGCATGGCCCAAACTCCTTTATGAATAATCGGACCAATATGTTTGTCTAATGTTGACCAGTTGCCAGATTGTATTAAATGCATTATATTCACACAATCCACAGACCATTTACAATTTCAACCCGTTTGTCACCTCAACCTGGCAACCTATAACCCAGTTGCGCAGTCGCGGAAAGTTTAACCCGAAAGCGAGCCGATAGACATGATGGCAGGTGAAGGTGGTGTCCCCGCAATGAAACTGAAGTACAGTTTGTAACGCGTTGCTTCAGGAAGATTAGGGATAGCTCACAACTGAAGTTATTGCATGCAGAGGCCAGACAGACACACGGAGGCGATTGGCATCTCACAACTCGCACTTTATTCCCAAATCTAACTCGTGTAGCCTAACTGTCTGTCACACGTTCTACTGTCCACATCGTTACTTAGTAAACAAAATAAGATAAAAATTAGCATCAAACAGAAATTACCCGCATACATGGGGTGTTCGCATTGACAGTAAAAGGGGTGTTCGAGGCCCAAGGCACATACAATACAATACTGCCGACAGTTCAACAGGGAGCGCATAGCTCTTAAAGGGGCCACACCTTATTTCCAGTCGTTACAAGTTGTACATATACCTCAACCCCCCCCCCCCCCCCCCGCCGCCGCCGGAGAAATCTCCCGGATTTTGAAAACCAAATGTTGACAGGTATGGAGTAGGGTCTCCACGACTACCCATTTTTAGTAGTCGACCAATAGTTGATGTCATCCAGGGGTTCCATCTGTAACTTTACGGACCCCAGATATAAAAATCCCCTTGTAAGGGACCCAGTTCCTTAAAATTATGAGATATAAATATGGAATTGTATGAAATAGAGTAGATATTTTTTGAGTTGTGTGAATTTATTGTGTTTATAAAACAACAATTTATTTATTGCAATTTTAAATTTGTCTTGCATTGAACATCTCGCAAAATCTGACTGAGATTTTTTATCTTACAGTTTTGACTCTTTTCCTCACAGTTCTGAGTTTACATCTTACACTTTTTCTCTTTTTAAATCTGCCTGCTTTATGGACGAGTGTCTGTCTGGATCACAAAAATGTTTTTGTACATTCCATTTCGTATTCATATGAAGTTCTCGAAATATGTTTGTGCTCAAGACAGACCCTTTCACCCACAAATTAGGCAGGTCACAAGTCCAAGATTGGACATCGGAAGAACCCTGGAGGTTTTTTTTATGTTACAATTTTCTATATCTTTAAGTTTGTAGACCCCCTAGAACCCTCCTGCAGCCCCCTAGGGGTCCACCACCCCTGGACTAGTCAACAAATCCATGTTTGTGAACGCAAAGTACACTGGGTTTGAATTTTTTTTTAATTGGTCAATAATATATAGTTGAGTTACTTTTAAGTTTAAAGGGGCACTTGGCAACTATTTCAACTTAATAAAACCGTTTAGAAATCATTTGAATGGTTTAATAACCTGTTCTGGAGAGAATGGTGACTTTCCCCCCTCGCCCCAGTGTTCCCAGGCGGAAAACAAACCATGCAACATGGGGACTAACGTCCCGGTAAGTTGGAAATAGGAAGTCTCGTGAGAAGCGAGAACGAGCGAGAAACACGAACTGCTTTATGGCAATTCGACATAATTCTATGATACTGTGTATGATGTATTACCCACTCGGTAGACATAGCTCCACACGATAAAGTTGGCCGGCTCCGATAATAACAAAAGCACATGAGCAGTGGTAGAAAGCGGGAGGAAGGTGCCGCAAGTGATTTTTTTTATGACAGTGTTGTGAAAATATACGCCGCACAGCTGTAGGGGGAGCTGATGAGAAAACATGCGACAACAAAAGTGAAAATCAGCGAAGAAATGACTAGAGTTGCCAAGTTCCCCTTAAGTTTAAGTTACATTTAGTTAGTTACTCCCCAACACTGACTTATCACAGTTCCACAAATCTGACTGACAACGACTTCAGCCTTACGAAATTGTTTAGAGGGATCAGTTGACTTGGGCCCTCTTCCCTGCTTTGATCTTGAACTCACACTAGCTTTTAGACACCCACTTGTCCACCGAATTTTCAATCCATCCCTCAAACAACCTCTTCTCAGAGACGTTTCCTTGCTTTTCGCTCTAGTGTGCAGTGTTTCTCAGCCTGCTGTGCCTGTGTGTGTTATCAGGCCAGTAGGAGTGAGGCAGCCTTTAATAGCTCTAGTCCTTATCGCTCCTTAGAGGACTTAGTGCCTAATTGCTGGGAAGGCAAGGAGACAGGAGATCAGGCTTTAAGGGAGGGGGAGGACAGTGTGATGCTGTAACCCGCAAAAGTAAGGTCTGCCTTTGAAAGCTGAACTGTATGGTGGTGGGGGATTCTTTAAATTCTGTTGCTGTTATCAGAATGTTCTGTGAGTGAGTTTACAGTTGTGTTTTCCCACAGGTGGCCCATCCTCCAGGATACCCTCTCTTCACCATGTTGTCTTCTCTGCTGCTCTCACTGCTGCCTCTCAGTTCTCCGGCTCACAGTATCAATGTCCTGTGTGCTGTCTTTGGGGCCGGGGCTAGCGGAGCCCTCTGCTTCACTGTCTGCAGGTAGGACATTCTCATGGCCCTGTTTACACCTGGTATTAGGATGAGTTTTGGTCAATTGGATCACAAGTAGACATGGGAGACATTTCCCTTTACAACTGGTGTTTTAATCCGTTTTTTTTGTTCACTTTTTCAACCACTTCTGTCCTGATTTCTTCGAGGAGAGGGTCTATGGGTGGGTAAATGTATGTGTTTTTTTCAGATATTTAAATCTAATGGACAAAATAAGCTGGCACAATTTACATATGGAGACTACGGAAAAACATACCGAGAACAGCAGCTTTCGTTTCTGCTCTGACAGCCGCTAGACCACACCGAACGCTATGAGTGCGTGTTAGAAATCAGGAATGGTGAGAGAACATTGTGCTTTGTTCGTTTGTCATCTTCAAACCAAATTTGGGTCTTCAGCCGACAAAGTTTAAATCCCGTCTGGCTAGCGTGCTTCCCATAATGTTTACGCATTAAGTCAGTAGGTGGAGAGTAGAGGGTCACATACACATTCGACCACATGACCATTAACACTATGAAAGCACTATGAAATCCAGTCGAATGAGTTTTCAACTACGTTTGGAAGTGGTTGAAAGTGGACAAGCTCAAAACGTTTTAGACCCCGTTTACACGTCGTACACTTGTGATCCGATCGACCAAAATGCATACCAGGAGTAAACAGGACCTCCATTAGACCAAAGAAATTCATCAATAGCTACCATGAATGTGGAGCGGGACTCTCTTCTGTTAATATTCTACTACACATACTCAAAGAACACGTGATGCTCAGGGTTTTTAGCAGTTTCAGAGGGGATGCATTTCACCTATAATATGCATTGTAAATGGTAAAGCATTCCAGATTGACTTTATTTTGCATATTCATATAATATGTAAGTGGAATATTATATTGGAGGGCTCCAGACTCCGCCTAAAACGGTCGTTTTTATTATAAAAAAATATTATTTTGCGAGTGATTGTACATTTATTTTTTATATAAAAGTTTGCATGCAATGCCTTTTTACCATTATTTTGTGATCAAGTTAAAATGCCCTGACATTAACTGCCATCCTAGATTTGGAGTTCAGTCAGCAGAAAAATGGGTCTAAACAGGCAGTAGCTGCTGCATGTATTTTAATATCTACACTTGACTTTTGCAAACGCATGCCCTCACTCAGCTGGGTTTGCGAGCCAAGCTGCCCAGAGATTTGGCTGCGGTTACATGTCCAAAGCAACCTCTGCTTTTAAGCCTCAAAGGATTTAGATCCAATTTTGGATTACAACAACCAAAAAAGTCATTTCCTTTGGCCCTCACAACCCCGCAACCCATCTTCCTCCTGTGGCTGATGGCACTGGGGATTTGGTTGCATATGCACACACAAACACTCTTAGCTCTTAAGTTTCAGTATATAATCTATGTTTTCAATTGAAAACATAAGCGTAATAGGTTTTGATGGTTATCTGTCCGGGCTTAGGCTGAGGTTTGGACTCATGCATGTCTGTTGGGCTCAGAGCAATAGCTGGCAGGCTTGAGATGCCAGGACTAGGAGGAGGGAGTGTTTTAGGGGTTTCAGAGCTTCCGGCACAGTCTGGGACTCCCTTCTGGGTTGGCATTGGGGTCCTTAGGTGCTTCGCCTGTGCCCAGTGGTAATGCTGAGGTGGCGTGCCACTCCCAGTAGGAGCACTACCGGACAGGCCTGTCCCCAGGCTGCTACCCTGGCACCCAACACCACTCTGAGACTGACCATTCTGTGCCCTATACTTTATCTGACATATTTAGATTTGAGGAATTTCAGAGCATAAAGGCTTGAATGCCTGTTTTGTTGTTGCTTGTTACATTCTTGCGTAATATTCTTTCCTGACTTTATTGTGCAGTATGTGGGTCAATGGCATTATGCATTTTTTTGTCTGGATTTTTTAATTTATATATAAAAAAATACATAAATTCATATGTACAATGACAGGAATGCATGCATTTATATGGGGGGGGGGGGGGGGGGGGGGGGGGTTATAAAAGTAAAATATGTCAGGGTGATAAATTGAAGAAAAATGTTTTTAAGAAAACTTTAAGTAGTTGACAATCGTTTAACTATTTGCTTTGATTTGATTTAGATTTTAGTTTATTCTAAAAGCCACCAAGAACATCTTAGAAACTGCAAGGCGATGTGATATTGTGCTTAAAAATTCCCACCATTTCATTCATTCAATATGTCTAAAATACTGCCTACTAAGTGGTCGACTAATTTATCGGCTAATTTACTTATTTACTAATTTACTTATTTACCGATATATCGGCCGATATTAATTTTTTTTAGTTATCGGCATTGGCCGATAAGTTTCTCTGTTGGCCAATGTGTTGGGAGCAGTACTTTAATTTTGATTATATATAGGCTTTATATTGGCCACCCTGCTCTCTAAGATATTGGTATTGACATCAGCCATCAAAAAATCAATATAGAGGTGTGCGATTAATCGTTAAAAGATTGCGATCTCGATTCAAACATCTACGCAATCTCATCCCTAAATGACAACGAATTCCCTGTATCTATGAAACCTTTGACAAGGAGAGCAGTTGTCATGTATAAGTATGAAACAGCTTTACAAAGAGTCTTTTCAACCTCACAGTATTGTTTTTTCTGTGTTACAAATATTCATATTATCACAGAAGTACTAGGATATAAACACTGTTGTCTGCGGTAGCGATCAAAATAAAGCAAATCCCCGTTTGAATGTAACATGGCGCTTGATTGTATCAATTACCAGATGGTGACAAGACTTTTAAACAAATGTATTTGTCATTGAATCATTCATTCAAGAGATTTGTTCAAAAACGCTGATTCATCTAGTGATGAAACAAGTGAAGTATGAGTGAGTCATTGAATCATTCATTCAACCCGATTACATTTTTTTTTTATTCATTCATATTAATTAAACATTTTAAATAGACTGCAGCAATTACCATTTTGTCAGAACCTCTAGTAAATTATGTTATTTTGTTTAGTTTTCTGTTCAGAATCATGGGAGAATCGTGATCTCTGTTTGAAACAAAGAAATCCTGATTCTCAAATTATCCAGAATCGTGCAGCTCTACTACTAAGAAAACATTTTGATTGCTTAGCCTTTTACTGTACGTTCATGATGTTGATTACGTAATAGAAGTGTCCGTGTGGCCGCAGAAGGTGACTTCACCCATCCTCCTCAGTCCCGGGTCCACCACACCTGTGAGGGTACACACCAGCCAAGAGCAGACGGGTCCAGCTCAGCTGACTGGGCTCCAGTGCCCACCTGTCTTGGTGCTTTTGTGTCCATATAAGGCACTTTACCATATGGTCATGACAGTGCTTTCCTCACTGGACCCTCGACTCGCTCGTAGTCACCCCATGGCTCTCTATGGTGAGCTGTGTTTATTAGCAAGATGGTGGCTTTGTGAGAGCAGTACCTGTGTTAGAATGTGTTAGCATATGCAAACATGAGCATTTAAAGGGTTAGTTTACCAAAATTTAAATTCGGTTATTATTTACTCATCCTCATGTTGTTCCAAACCGGTTTGACTTTCTTTTTTTTTGGAACATACAAAACGATATTTTGAAGAAGGTTTAGTCACATTTTTCAAAATATTCCACTGAAGAAAAAAAGTCTTAGATGTTCGGAACGACATGAAGGTGAGTAAATGATGACAGAATTTTCATGTTCTAATGTTCAATATTTTGTTCTCTGCCATATTGATACTTATACAATGTGGATTTCATAACTTAAGCTCAATATATTTGTCTGTGTATTTGTTTCTGTTAAAGACTAAGAAAAAAACGCTGTCATTTCCCACGTCCCTTGGCTGGCCCCTCCAGCATACCTCTGTTGTCAGGTAAATCACCGACCCAGAAACAAGAGCTCCTGGCAGCTTAAGCATATGCTTTATTAGCCAGTCTAATCTCTAAAATGCTCTGGTTTGCAGCCATTCGTTTTTGGTAAATATATTTCCTCTTTAGCTGTGACACCCACCCTTTGTTTTTCTTGCCAAGAACCTTGATATCTTTAAATATGAAGGAAAACCCTTACAACTTAAACCCTATTGACAGCTGCTGTTGATTACCACAGACAATAATATGAACTTGTCAGTTAGTTTGAAATGACAAAACAAGCATTCAGTAATGTACTTATAGTAGAAGTCTATGGCCCTGTTTACACCTGATATTAAGATGCGTTTTGGTCAATCGGATGACAAGTAAACAAGGGAGACCCATTCCTGTTTACACCTGGTGTTTTAATCTGTCTCTTTTGTCCACTTTCAGCCACTTCTGTCCTGATTTCATAGAGAGAGTGTCTAATGTACAGGATGTGTTTTTTCAGATCAATCGATCTAATGGACAAAATAAGCTTGCGCAGTTTACATATGATCGAACGCACACGGATACAACACAAAAACATACGGAGCAACAGCTTTAGTTTCGGCTCTGATCGCCACAAGACCAGACCAAACGCTGTGAGTGTGTGTTAGAAATCAGGAATGGAGAGAGAACATTGATGCGTTTTCGACTACGTCTGTATATCGTCGAACGTGGACAAGCTCAAAACGTTTTAGACCCTGTTTACACCTATATATATATATATACACTCACCTAAAGGATCATTAGGAACACCTGTTCAATTTCTCATCAATGCAATTATCTAATCAACCAATCACATGGCAGTTGCTTCAATGCATTTAGGGGTGTGGTCCTGGTCAAGACAATCTCCTGAACTCCAAACTGAATGTCAGAATGGGAAAGAAAGGTGATTTAAGCAATTTTGAGCGTGGCATGGTTGTTGGTGCCAGACGGGCCGGTCTGAGTATTTCACAATCTGCTCAGTTACTGGGATTTTCAACCATTTCTAGGGTTTGCAAAGAATGGTGTGAAAAGGATAAAACATCCAGTATGCGGCAGTCCTGTGGGCGAAAATGCCTTGTTGATGCTAGAGGTCAGAGGAGAATGGGCCGACTGATTCAAGCTGATAGAAGAGCAACTTTGACTGAAATAACC